GCTGTTATTTCTGTACAAATACAGAGTCAGCCATCTGTGTTCAGTAGATCCCAGGTGAGATTATAAGATTATATTAGGACATGAATTGAAGTAATGAGATGGTTCGCTGGAATCTCAATGCACAACCACACCCAGCAAGTTTTAGGTTCGAGGCACACTGTTCAGTTATTTAATTCAATTTCTAAATTTGGAAGAATGCATAATCGATCCGCCCGGAAGAATTTACACAACTCCATCAGTTTAAAGCCCAACCAAGGATTTTAGAAATCCGTCACTAAAGCCCAACCCAATTCGGGATAGAGGCAATTGGGCTGGATTTTATGGGCAGGAAGTTAGTCCGCTCCAACAAAGTCCAACTCTAGCAAAAGACCATTCCATTCTTCGTCTTCTTCTCCTCCCTTCTTCTGTTAACTGTAGGTCTCACTCTTCTGCTGCTAATTTCAAAAAAATTCTAATCAAAGTTGAGAAGAAAATGGCTTTAAGAAGAAGGAAATACTTAAAAATTCATTCTTTCTTCTTCCCACCAAAACACATCACTCCTTTTCTTCATCAAATTCAAAACACCTTCTTCTTCCTTCTCCAAACACAACAAAACTCCCCTATTTCAATAAAAAAATCATTTATCTCCATTACCCATTTCAATAATTACTCTTCTTTACCTTCTTCTTATACTTCTGAACCAAATCATACCCAAATCATTGAAAGACTCATCACTATATTTACCAAGAGATTATACAACGTTTCAAACAACAAGGAAGAAATGCAACTACTTGGAGAAAAGCTAAACCCCTACATTGTAGAAATTGTGTTGAAGGGTTTTAAGAGTTGGAGAATAGCTAATGATTTCTTCTTATGGGCATCAGAACAAAAGGGGTATGAGCATAATTGTTATACATATAATACAATGGCTTCAATTCATTCTAAGTTTCAAAAAACTACTAGATTAAAGTTTTTAGCTTTAGATGTAGTGAATTCTAGGTGTCGAATGACGCCGGGAGCTCTAGGTTTTTTTATTCGTTGTTTGAGTAGTCATGGATTAGTTGATGAAGCTGTTTATTTGTTTGAGCAATTGAAAAGATTGAAACTTTGTGTTGTAAATAGTTATAGTTATAATTGTTTGATAGAGGCAATTGCAAAATCTGGGCGATTTGAATTTGTCGAAATGAGGTTGACAGAGATGAGGGATGAAGGTTGGGAGGTTGATAAGTTCACTCTTACACCTATTTTGCAAGCGTATTGCAATGCCAGGAAGTTTGACGAGGCTTTGATTATTTTTAATCAGATTTATGATAGAGGCTGGGTTGATGAACATGTTTTTACGATTTTGATGATTGCATTTAGTAAGTGGGGTGAGGTTGATAAGGCTTTTGAGTTGATTGAAAGGATGGAAGATCATAATATGAGACCCACTGAGAAGACTTTGTGTTCTTTGATCCATGGGTTTACAAGAGAGTTGAGGGTAGATAAGGCGCTTCAGCTGTTTGATAAAATGCGAATATTGGCTTTCAATCCTGACCTCCCACTTTATAGTGTGTTAATAGAGGGACTTTGCAAGACAAATGAACTTGACAAGGCATTGTATTTGTATACTGAGATGAAGAGCTTTAAGATCTTTCCAGATGCCTATGTTTACAAAAATCTAATTTCGTCCTTCTCTGGACAAGGAGATTTAGTCACCGCGAACAAGTTACTGGAGGAGGGAGAGGAAGAGCTGGATTTAGCAGCTATGGTTGTGCTTTACAATGCAATCTTAGACAGTCTTGTTAGTAAGGGTTTGACAGATAAAGCTTACTTACTGGTTCGCGCTATGATGGGAACTGAATGTATCGGTGAATCCGTGATTGGTGACCTTTTCAGAGTGAAGAAAACGGTCCTCCCGAATTATGATTCTTTTGCTGTTGTCATTGATGGTTTATGCAAGACAACTAAACTTGACGAGGCTCTTGTCCTCTTTCGTGACATGATACATATGGGTTGTGAACGAACTGTAATATTGTATAATAATGTAATAAATGCTTTATGTGATTCCAATAGATTGGAAGAGAGTTTTGAGCTTTTAAGAGAGATGAAGGAGTCTGGATTTAAACCTACGGAGTTTACACATAATTGTATATGTGGGTGTTTATGCACAAGAGAAAATATTTCTGCAGTGCTTGATCTGTTGAGGGAGATGCGTGTCTGCGGACATGAACCATGGATCAAACACTATTCAGGGCTAGTCAAGCAACTTTGCTCTCAAGGGAAAGCTGTGGAAGCTTGTGGCTTTCTGGCTGATATTGTCCGGGAAGGCTTCCTGCCTGATATTATTGCATATTCTGCAGCTATAGATGGACTGTTCAAAATTCGGGAAGTTGACCGGGCTATGGAACTATTTCAGGATATATCTACACGAGGGCATGGTCCTGATGTTGTTGCTTATAACATTGTAATAGATGGACTCTGTAAAGTGGAGAGGGTGTTAGACGCCAGAAAGTTTCTGAATGAAATGTTTGAGAAGGGTCTCTTGCCATCAGTTGTTACCTACAATTCAATGGTAGATGGTTTATGCAAAGCGAATGACATAGACCAAGCTTTTCATTATTATAAAGAAATGATCAGTGAAGGAAGGGAACCTACAATAATTACGTTCACAACTCTAATTGATGGATTATGTAATGGGGGAAGACCTGATGACGCTCTCATGCTTTGGAATGAAATGATCGAGCAGGGGTGTGCTCCAAACAGGATTGCTTATATGGCTCTTGTTTATGGCCTGTGCAAGTGTAATACATCAAAGGTGGCTCAGATATATTTTAATGAGATGAAGGAAAAGGAAATGAGACCAGACACCTATGTATATGTCGCACTAATAACTGCTCACATATCCAATAAGGACTTGTTTTTGGCTCTTGAAATTTTGAAAGAAATGGTTCATAAGGAAGAGTTTCCAGCCTCGTCAGATAAGAACTACCCAATATTGGTAGAAGCACTACGCAAGTTCTCTGAAAACTCTACCACTTCTTTAGTTGTGCAGAATCTTATTTCAGAAGGATGCATTCCAGCAATATGCAGTGTCTCCGAAGAAGGTGATAAAGAGGGATAAGAGGCCATTGGTTAATCAGGTGGCATTTTGTTTTAGATTCGACAGAATCATAGGAGTAGCTCGATTGTGAGGTGGTGAACATGGATTAAAGATATCTTAGCCAGCTGGATTTATTAATTCTTTGGTTATGAGATTTGCTTATCCTGGTCTGCCTGCATGCTCATACTATAAGTCTTTATGGCACTGCAATGCAAGGTATGGCGACTCTTACTAGGATTTGCTTTTTTCTATATGAATAGTACAAAGTCCTTTTTCTGGTAACATTAGTTCAAATACCAGAAATTTGCTTAAAATTAGTTCAAGTACCTTAGATGCCCTCTGCTACTATATGTAGAACTCTATAACCAGTTACCCAAAATGGACTTGGAACTTGATTGATGTCAGTAGTATTTTTAGATTTTATCCTCATAAAAGAAATGGTCGATTTGCTACTACAGGTCAAATGTGCTTAGCAGAGGAGATCCTCTAAAGGGATATTCTGTGGCAAGAAGAGACTTCAAATTGTATCCCCAAAAAACACTTGAGGGATGGAGACATTTTATCATTCAGAATGTGTAATGCCCTTTTACAGGTAATTATTTCAATAAATATTTTCCCACTTAACAAAATATTACCGTTGGTCACAAGCTTGATTTGAGTTTAAATTTTAGGTAGTGATGAATTATTTGTAAGCTAATTATTTCTACTGTTTATGTGCCAACAATAATGCCTCTCTTTCAGGTGCTGTCTTGTTCCACTCATTTTTGCGTACTGCTCATAGGCCAACCACATGAAGCATTTCCTTCAAGAAGGAATATTCTATATTTGATATGTTAGCATTGTCGTCAGAAGGAGGGAGATTCCATCTGGAATGTAGCTCCAAATCTCCAATTGTCTAATTCGGTTCTGGAAGTACCTATATAGGTTACAACACCCTCTTGATCCATCAATTAAATGCGTTCCAACTTCCAAGCTAAATTAGGTTATATTATTTGTAAGAATATGTTTTATTTTATTTTATCTTTTTTTCAGGATTCTGATTATGGGAATAAAGTTGTTGCTGAGAATATGAAAGAAGAAAAGACGAAACGAAAAGAGAAGCTATTGCCAAGGATTTATTCAACAAGCATGAGGTATTTTGTACTGGCTGTCGTACAATCACTATATGGCTGATAACT